AAAACAACTGGGAACAATACCTACCATTAATAGAGTTCGCTTATAACAACAGTTATCAGGTGAATATCCAGATGGCCCCATATGAAGCATTGTATGGGACCTGATTTGAAACGTCGTGAGATTGAATACAATGTGGATGACATGGTGTTTTTAAAAGTTTCACCATGGAAGAAAGTGCTACGATTTGGTATGAAGGTAAAACTGAGCCCAAGGTATATTGAACCCTAACGAATCACTGAATGTGTGCGTTCAGTAGCCTACCGGTTAGAACTTTCGCCAGAGCTGAACAAAATTCACGATGTATTACTTGTATCAATGCTAAAATGTTATTGTTCTGATCCATCACATATCCTAACCGATGGAACCGTAACCCTTGACGAACATTACCTATGAAGAAGAACCTGTCCAAATTCTAGCACATGAAATCAAAGAACTGAGAAACAAGTCTGTTACTTTAGTCAAAGTACTTTGGAGGAATCACACACTCAATTGATAAAGTAACTTGGGAAACTGAAGAATCAATGAAGACCCAATATCCAAATCTATTCAACCAATGACTTAGGTAATTTTGAGAACAAAATTACTTCAAGGGGAGAGAAATGTAACACTCCAAAATAGATCTATCAGAATTAATTAATTAATAATTAATAAAAAACTAAGAATGACCCAAAAATAAGTAATTTATGAAGTTTGTCAATAAATAATGAAAATTATATCGTTGTGTAGAGTTTGACTAAGGTACAATCGGATTTTAATTCGGAGAAAGTTGGATCAAAAAGTGTATTCCGATTAGAGCCAAATTAGTCCCAATCAGGGAACCTATGCAAACGACGCCTCGCAACGTACTAGCCGATCGCAGAATCACGGAGGAGTCAGCATCTTGTGTTTTCTTCTTCACCTCACTCTATAAGAACACCCTCTACACTCAAACCTTCACCATTCTTCCTCCTTCTTTTTTCTAAGTGTTCCTTGTTAAGAGAGAAGTAGTGCAGTGGTGCTGTCAATTTGGTGAGAGGTCACTGGAGCTAATCATAATCTTTGCCGGAAGTTTCACCAGAATTTTCCTAAAACCTTTATTTTAGCCCAAGGTAAGCCCTTAGATATATCCATTGATTGAAATGTTCGTATAGATCGTTTCTACGTTCATAAAGGGTCGTTTGATTGAGTTTTGTGTTTGACTTGCTTGAAGAACCAAGAATCATAAACCTTGAAATTGTTGTTAAAATTACGAACTAATGATTCCAAAATGATCTATGAACTTTGAAAAAAATTTCTATATAGTTTAATTGAAATTTGGTGATTAAAAATAAAGTTTTTGAAGATTAGCCCGAGGTTGAAGATGACACTGTTCAAAACTACGCGCAGAACAGTAACGACCTACCGCCCGAACGGTACCTTGGTACTACCGGCACGGTAGGCCGTACCGTCGGAACAATAGGCCAGCTACTGTCTCCTCTGCGAAAAACATCCTCCTCTGGCCGTACCTGACGCCAGGCGGTACCCCGTACCGTGTGGATGGTACCTACTGTTAGCCGGTACCGAGATACCGTAAAGGGTATCGTTCGATCCAAAAATTTTCTAGAAACCTGATTTTTGAAATATTAAATCCTGTTTTTAATACCATTCAATTATGATCAATATGAAAATGATCGTTGGAAATAAATATGATGTTTTGATAAATCCAAGAATCTTATGTGATGCATGACGATAAGCTAGGGTGTTAACACTCAACGCTAGACCACTAGTTGTTATTAGATATTATGATGATGATTATTGAATGTTGATTATGATCAAACCTTGATGAAATGATATGTATTGTTAAGGCTATCTAGAAGACTTCTTAGATAGACCTTAAATTAAAATAGGCCTTGCGGGTATAAATATGTATATTCGGTGACTTGGGTAAATAAGTACGTACGGGATCCCCAAACCAAACTAGAGGATCACTCGTTTGGGGATATCACTCAACTCGACGGTGAGCATTTTGCTGTCCGGTTTCTTGTGTACCTTAAGCTAAGACTAATTTAAGAGTTGGAAAACCTTTTTTTTTAAAATTGTATATTAAACTAGACTAGCTTAAAAGTTGGTTAGTAGTACCTTAAACTAGAATATAGTTTAAGACTTGGTTAGAGGTACCTTAAACTAAAATTAGTTTGAGAGTTGGTAAACATTAAGAAATTAGCCTTAGGCTAAAAATAGTTTAAGAGCATTGTTGAGTGTGAATGTTGGATATGAATGCTGAATATTGAATATTGAATACTTGGACTGAATATTATATGCATGATATCAAATGATTTGATTGTGAATTGAGATTCAATTTATATGGATGTTCGATGCATTAGATACCCTTACTCAGATTCATCGCTGAGCTTGTAGTATGTTTTATTTGCTACACGCAGAAAAACAAGAAGAATGAAGTGACGTATTCCCAGCGGCAGATGGGGCGAGATTGTCGGGATGGATGTGACAATTTGAATTATGATTTCGAAAGACATAAAATAATTATTTGTTATTGTCATGTGACATATTTTATGCTTCCGCAATATTGAACACTCCATATTATTATTGTTCATGTTATGAATATTATTTATGATTAATAAAAATGTTTGTAATGTTTTAAATTTTACGATTACCAAGTTTATACTTTAGTCCAAAATAGGCTACAAACCAGAACGGATAACGGATTAAGGTGTTACACACATCATCTCCACATCATTCATTTTTAAACATCTTATTTTTTAAACAAATACTCACAACCCATTTCATCCATCCGCCCTTTTAATTAATTATTTATATGTTCTAATTTACTTTGTTTTATTATTTATTTTAAATAAAAATAACATGGAAACTATTAAATTAAATATTTAGAAATTTAGGAATTTATATTTAGAAGAATAAAAATAGAGGATAAAATTATAACAATATTTTAATTAAATAAAATATTTAATTATTTTGAAATTGAATATTAAAAATTGAATATTTTAATTAAATTAAATAATTAAATATTTTGAAAATAAATATGAGAAATTCAATATTTTAAATAAATACTTCCTCCGTACCTAAATATTTGCAACATTTGCTTTTTCAGCAGTCGTGGGAACTTTTGTTTATTTCTACGTTTTCATTGGTTATTTGATAAAATAAATTATTTTTGACACCTCTGATTTAGAAGAACTTTTCATGTAGTTTTTTGATATGTAAATTTTATTTTTTATTTCTATACTAATATGTAAATAAAATGATTTGAAAAAAGTTTGATATTTTACCCCAAAAATAGACCTGGCAAAATTTGACCCGACCCATTATTAATCCAAAACCCGACCCGAAATTAGCGGATTTCGAACATTGATTTTGCGACCCGAACCCGAAGACCCGTTAAATTTTCAGGTCAGAACGGGTCGGGTCGGGTTTGACCCGACGGGTTATGCACTTAATTGCTTATTTTTATTAGTTATTTAGTTTTATATATTCATTTAAAATATGAATATATATATATATATATATATATATATATATATATATATATATCGTTCTTCCACCGTTCGTTGATATTAGATGCCGACGCAATCAAAATGGTATGAAGACACAAGATCAATAGTGGAATTTTTAATCCTATTTCATCGTCTTCAATTGCTCCTACATGTAACTTAAGTTTTTATTCTTTTCTTGTATTTTGGTATGGCGCAAGAATCTCAATTTTTTATAATGCATATATATTTTTGGGTATGTTGAAAAAATCTTCATTTTTTTCATCTACTGCAATTTTTTTGGTATGCTGCAAAAAAGTGATTTTTTGAGGTATATTACAATTCGCTTTTGGTATGTTGCAAATAGAACTGCAAACTTTTATGATTTCGTTCTTTGTTTTAAATAATGATCGCATCACATGATCTCTAAATAGAAAAAAATTTGATTTTTAAATACGCCTCCTAACCCGTTGGGTCAACCCGTACCCGATAACTCTGAGTCATGAACAAGCACTCTTAGACCCGAACCCGAAGTGACCCGAACCCAAAATAACCCGAACCCGATCTGACCGACCGTTTTGTCAGGGCTACTCAAAAATACAAGTGTGACAAATATTTTGGAACGGAGGAAGTATAATAAATATTAAAATTAATAAGTCCCACATTTAAATGCATCGAATGGAATGGATGTTTAACCCTTTCTCTCCATCTAACCTTCCATCCTTCCATATTTTTAAACACATTTTAAAGATTACCAATGGAGAAGCTCTTAGACCATTACCATTTCAACCATGCTACACTTACCCCACAAGTTGTACCCCATTTGTACACCGTAGTTATACACAAACATTTTGATGGTTTACACCTACACAAGTGTTGGTGCGTTAACAAAAATTTACACGGACACAAAGTATTGGTGCATTAACAAAAATTATTTTTGCACTAACAAAAAGTGTTGGTGCAAACCTGCGGGATACAAAGTGGGGTAAAAAAACTTGGGGTACAAATAGCTTTATCCTTCACATGTGCAATGGCAAGTAAAAGGGATGCCTTGCACTGCCACGTCATCTTTTTCCACTCATATCATGGCATGACAAGGCCAAAATGCCTTGCTTGGTGAGGCATGAGTGTGGCACTTCATCCTTCTTTTTTTATTTTTTTTAAAAATTTTTTATGAAAAAAATGTATAAGAAAGTAGAATAATTTTTTAATAAAATTATGTTTTAAAAACATAAAAAAAATGTAAAAAAGTGATAAAAAATAATGACTTGCCATTGTAGGACTTGCTACTCCATTCACTTGTCACACGCTGACTGAACTATTTTTTATTAGTTAAAATGTTCCATGTCATCGTGTGACATTCTATTTTCGACTTGTCATTGTTGATGCTCTTACCATTTACCACTACTTTCATAAACATCAACACACCACGTCACCATTCCACCAAAAGTCCAAGAGACTTTACACGTGGTCATTCTTGTCGGTGTGTCCGGCAAACGGCCGTAGCTGCCATTGCAAAGTCAGTCAGCGACGACTGATGATGATGATCGGTAGAAATTCACCATCGGAAACGAGGGTAATAGACCAACTAACTCATCGTCTTCGGAAATCTGTTCGCCGGCGGCGAAATAACGAGTACGGAGTAGTAAGCTAAAACAGCATGGAGAACTGCATTTACAGAGACCCGAGAGCGCCGGTGGAGGCGCGAGTGACCGATCTTCTCTCCCGAATGACCCTCCATGAGAAACTAGGTCAGATGACCCAAATCGAACGCTCCGTCGCCACTCCTTCCGTCCTCGCAGACCTCTCTATCGGTAAACTCGCACAAACCCCTCAATTGCACTTCCTCTGATTATCCGGGAAATAGTGTGATTTACTCTGCACATATTAAGGGTTTTAGCTATTCATATTCTCTTTGGAATTTAGGGAGTGTATTGAGTCTGGGTGGGAGCTCTCCCTTTGAGAATGCCTCGTCTGAGGATTGGGCTGAAATGATTGATGGTTTCCAGAGATCGGCATTGGAATCGCGGCTGGGCATCCCGCTGCTGTATGGGGTTGATGCTGTTCATGGAAACAACAATGTCTATGGTGCCACAATTTTCCCTCATAATATTGGCCTGGGAGCTACCAGGTCCATTCAATTATTACAGACATCTTCTCTTTCTGGCATCTGGGATTGTTTCTAATGGAAACCTGACTCAATCGTGTGTTGAATTTGGGGTATTCAGGGATGAGGAATTGGCACGGAAGATTGGAGTTGCCACCGCTCTTGAAGTCCGGGCTTGCGGCAGTCAGTATACCTTTGCTCCCACTGTGGCTGTGAGTTTAAGAACATATGCTACCTTGGAAAAACACATATTTAATGGCTTGAACTCTGTTGTCCTCTCGGGCTTTCTATATCTAACTAGGCATATCGTCATGTTCAAACATAAGCCCCATAAGAGTGGTTTTTGGCATCATATTGTGATTGAACCCTGTTCCCAATAAATGGAGTCCAGATGTTAGGCCATTGGGGCTTTTTTCTCTGGCATTCCAATTCTTTCTGTTAGAGTATATAACAATCATTCTTGGGCCACAACCACAAGCTTGAGCTTTTGGTTGAGTTGGTTCCTTAACATGGTATCAGAGCCAGTTTTAGCCCACCTCGTTTGTCAAGGTGTCCGTCTAGATGTTCATTCCTAGCGGCCCGTTAGTCTTTAGCCCAGTTGTCCGTATGGAGGTTGTACCCAACGGCTTGTGGCATGTTTAACACGATTGCTCGTCTGGAAGTCCATACCCAGCGGCTCGTGGTCCTTTAGGTGTTGGCGCTCAAAAAAAAAGAGTCAAGGGAATGGGAGTTCATCTGCAAGTGGTCAACCAGTTAGATTCAAAATGGCCCGGTTGTCCACTTGAGGGGGAGTGTTAGAGTACATCCCACATCGGAAATCCAAGAGTAAAATAATCGGTATATAAGCTCTAGAGTTGAACTAAGTAATCGATTGGATTCAATCTTTTAATGTGGTTCAACCCAAGTGTCTTATTGCCCAATCTAGTGATCCATACCCATCTTAAATTCTATCATGGTATCAGAGCCTTGATGACCAAGAGGTCACGAGTTCAAAGCTCACCGCCACCCAGTTTTAAAAAAATCAAGGTTTCACGTGCGAGGCTCAAAGAGGTCACGCCTGCACGTGAGGGGGCGTGTTAGAGTATATAACAATCATTCTTGGGCCACAACCACAAGCTTGAGCTTTTGGTTGTGGCCAAGAATGATTGTGGAATAATGTATTGTAAAGATAGGTTTAGAAACATCCATGATGTATGTATTTATGGTCTTGCGGTTGTCGCCCATGATGTCATTGGCTAGTTTTCTAGTGTGTATATATTCTTGTACTCTTCATAATCTATTATCACGAAAAATAGAAAGTTTCCCCTCTGCTTTCACATATTTAAACCTGGCATGGATCTTGAATGTTCATCCTGTTGTTGAAACAGGTGTGTAAAGATCCCAGATGGGGAAGATGTTATGAGAGTTTTAGTGAAGACACCGATATTGTTAGGAAGATGTCATCCATCATTTCTGGATTACAAGGACAACCACCAAACGGGCACCCATTTGGATATCCATTTCTAGCAGGAAGGTAGCATTATTTTTTTTTTGAAATTTGAATCAATCTCGTCACACTCCCCACTTGTTAGAACTTTCTGGAACACATCTTGTACTGTTACTTGATATGCAATTCTTACATTTGCTGTGTCATTTTCATTTGTTGAATGGATAATTTAAGCTTGAAGGGACATACATTAGATTAGACAAACCTATAAAATTGCAACTGTCTAGTTCGAGCTGAAAACTTATTTACCATCTTAGTTCATACTCACTAACTAACATATTGTAACCACTAATTATCATAATATATTCCCTCATATACGAACATATGTTAACTCTTATCTAATGGAGACTATTAAAAGCATGAAGAGACCCTTATCCAGAAAAATAGTCAAAAAAGATGAAAGCTAATTCCAAAATCTTGTGTCTATGCTTTGTAATTCATTACCTGGTCTTCATATATGCACAGAATAAGGTAACACATTTATTTAGAGGAGGTTCCGATGATGAACCTTAGAGGTGCATTTTGGACCTGAAAAATAACATGAGAAGAAAAATTGGGGGGAAACTGTGTTTATGAATGCATAAAAAAAACCTGTTTCGTTTTCCTTTGCATTTGCTTTAGCTAAACCTTAACATAGGAAAACAGCTTTCTTCAATTTTTTTCCCCATTTCCTAGTATTTTCCATGATCCAAACATAGCCTGAACTTGTGGTTCATTGCCTCTCCATGGAGTCATGGACATTTAATCCACCGATGTGTTTTTCACCAGGGACAATGTGGTAGCCTGTGCAAAGCATTTCGTTGGAGATGGGGGTACTCATGATGGTATAAACGAGGGGAATACCATGTCATCATACGAGGAGTTGGAGAGTATCCATCTGGCTCCTTACATTGACTGTCTGTCCCAGGGCGTCTGCACTATTATGGCATCCTACACCAGCTGGAATGGGACCCCAATGCACACTAGTAAATATCTCCTTACAGATGTGCTGAAAGGAAAGCTGGGGTTCAAGGTAATAATATTGACCCTTTCAATCTTTGGCACAAGTTTTACGCATTCAGTTGGATGATTATTTCATGTGTGTGATAAATTTCTCATATTTTTCAAGCATGTGCCACTTTTGAGATATTTGTGTGCTATTTGGTGCATCATTGTAGGATTCATCTAAATTCTGCTAGTCGCTAGTCGGGGGATTTTGAAGGGGATGGAACTCATGGAAGGGGGGTGGGAATTTTATTTTTAAATTTAATCTTACATTTAGATGGCTAGAAAGAAAGTGAAGATTAAAAGTTACGAAGCATATAAATATAATTATTTTCTAGGGGAATTTACCTAAATAGTACTAAAACATATTAGTTTTTCCAATGTAGTACCATATGTTTTTATTTCTCAATGTAGTACCTTTGTTCAATGCCCAGTGGTCATTGTTCAAGTAAATGTCCACCGCCACTAGACATTGTTCAAACTAAATGCCCAACATCACTGGACATTGTTGCCACCACTAGTCTTTATTCAAGTACTATTTAGGGAATAAAAAAGTTTAAGTACTACATTGGGAAAAGCCATAAGTTTTAGTACTATTTAGTGCAAATTCCACTATTTTCTATTCAAAGAGTAACAAATAAAGATGAGTGCAAAAGAAAATTCAATTTATTGATAAATGATGCGCACTGCTACTGAGTATGTAGTAGCAGCAGCAACAATGATACTTTGTTCATTAATTCATCATCTGATATCGAAACGATTTAGTATCTCTACCTTTAAAAGGGAGGGTAAGGTCCACGTACACTCACCCCTCCCAGCACTGGGTTGTTGTTCTAAATGGTTTAGTGTGTTAGAAGGTAGATGTAATGTGTTATGCTTTGCAGGGCTTCATCATAACTGATTGTGCAGCACTTGACAGACTCTCTAAGCCTTTTGGATCAAATTATCGGCGTTGCGTTATGCAAGCCATCAGTGCTGGAATTGATATGGTACCTTAATCATATAATGAATTACTCCCTATCCACACACACACACACACACACACACACACCAAAAGTAAAAAGAAAAAATCATATTTGAACAAAAAATAGTCATGTTCAAACAAAAGAATATAATTCGTCATTGTATTTAATGTATTTTTTGTGTTCCAAACAAGTTAATTATGTTAAATTTAGTTAAACCAATTTACAAATATGATTAGAATTGATGATTTCCAATGGTTTTACCTTGCGAAAATGTAAAAGTTATACCTTAGTAAAATAAAATCTTTTTTGGGTACGTAGGTAGTAACTATATCTCCAAAGTCTACAAATTTAATTTTCATTGCTTAACTGGGTTCATAATTCATACAGAACATTAGTTAATAGTTAATTTACAGGTAATGGTACCCTTGCGTTACCAACTATATCTTGATGATCTTAGAATGCTGGTTGAATCTGGGGAGATACCAATGTCCAGAATTGATGATGCTGTTGAACGGATTCTGAGAGTGAAGTTTGTAGCTGGACTCTTTGAGTACCCACTGAGCAATAGGTCATTGTTGGATAAAGTTGGTTGTAAAGTAAGCCTAGCACAGCCCTCTCCGTACTAGTAATTTTTCTTCTATATCTAATTCATGTTAAACAAGTTAAATCATTTAATTGACGTTATATCATTAGATTATTATGGACAAACTAAGAATAGGCAAAACTATTACTAGGCTTGTCTAACAAGTTACAATAAACTCAAGGGAATCACATTAACGTAACATTACCTCATTTTCCTATATAGAGTTAATATTAGATTACCTGGTAATCTAAAAACCTATCTAACACTACGTTTATCACGTTACCTAGGTATGATCTTTAACTGTGCGAATGTGCGATGATTGTTTCAGCTACACAGGGAACTGGCACGTGAAGCAGTTCGCAAGTCTTTGGTTCTTCTGAAGAATGGAAAGGATATTACAAAACCATTCCTTCCCCTTGACAAGAATGCTAAACGCATTCTTGTTGCTGGACAGCATGCTGATGATCTCGGATTTCAGTGTGGTGGATGGACTAAAACTTGGGATGGACAAGGTGGCCGAGTTACTATTGGTAAGTTAAATTGTGGCCAAGTGGTAAACCCAAACAAAACAAAACAAAAATCAAATCTCTTGGATAATTGTTAGGATTGTTTTGCCAATTCAATTGTCCTTTGAAATTAGAGAGTCAATGCCAAATTGTCCAAATAACAAGAAATGGTAAAGAATTGGCCAAAATCACAAGTTGAAAATGATTTGAGTTTGTTTAACCTTAAGACATTTTTTATGAGTTGGTTTCTTCTAGGCACAACAATTTTGGATGCCATTAAAGCCACTGTGGGAGAGGAAACAGAGTTGGTATACGAGCAGAACCCATCGCTGGACACCTTTTCATCAAACCAACCATTCTCTTTCTCCATAGTAGTGGTGGGGGAAGCTCCTTATTGTGAATCAGGCGGCGACAGCAAAGACCTAATCATTCCCTTCAACGGCTCCGAACTGATAAGGTTTGTTGCAGAGAGGGTTCCAACATTGGTTGTCCTCATCTCCGGGAGGCCAATGCATTTGGAGACTTCGGTTTTGGAGAGGGTAGAAGGATTAATAGCTGCTTGGCTGCCAGGGAGTGAAGGGGCAGGAGTGACAGATGTCATCTTTGGGGATCACGAGTTTCAAGGGCGTCTCCCGATGAGTTGGTTCAGAAAAGTTGATCAACTCCCCATGAATCCGGCTGCTTCCACATGCTACGATCCGTTGTTTCCGATTGGGTTTGGGTTAACAAGCAAAAACCAATTGATGGATGCTGCTGAGGACAAGAAGACTGAAGGCATACTAAGCAATGTATGAATCTCTTTTTAAGTTGGCTGCAGTGATCACAGAATAAGGTGCTATTTGGTTGAAGGAATTTCAGCATTAACTTAATTTAAACTGAATGGATGATTGTCGGATGATATAATACCACCCCCCCCCCTCCCCCACCCAAAAAAAAAATTAATAAGAGAATAAATAATCAGTGTTCTATTTTGTAAGAAACAAATAAAACTGATTCTCTGCTTCTCCTTTTCATAGGTTAAGTTCCCCAATTCCAAGATGGAAGTATTTCAGAATGACCTTTTTATTTCACTCATAATAAAAGCTACTCCATATTTGTTTTCCAGTAAAAGTCACATTAGGAGAAATTGGAAAGTGATTATTACAATGCCACATTTTTAAGTAACTGTGTAGATGTGGGTAGTAGGCTATGGTCTGAGTAAGCTCACTCTAACTTTTGTAGGATTTTAATGGATTGTGGTTGGTATCGTCTTGTTGGTGGCGAAGTTGCTTTTATAGAATGGACAAGAACAAGATGTTGGATATCTGGGAGGGGGGAACTCTACATAGGGGTGAAAATGATTGGTATAGACATGAAAATGACTTGCTATAGTTTATGAATTGTGTGTAACATGTTTCTAGATTGAAGTTACCTCGGTCTACCAAGATACTTTAATGAGATAAGATTAAACTTCAAGAAGTATGAACATTTTGCAAGTTCCAACACACCAAAGAGACTTCATATATATATATATATATATATATATATATATATATATATATATATAGACAATTCGACCACTAAACCAACATGATTGTATATAAATCTGCATTCGAATTTTGGAGGGAGAACGGTATCGTCATTTTACACAACTACAATTACTGGGAGCATAAGTTTAAGACTATCTCTCTAGAATTTTTTTTGTTTCTAGGAATCCTTGTTTCTCTGAAGGACTAAAATGAGTCAAAGTCCATTGAAGGACTAAGGGCATTGTGCCCGAAAGATAGACTGTGCTCCTCACTCTGTTTAGAGTGCCTCCTTAGAATTGACCTCGATAGGAAATCCCCCCCCCCACCCGATGAATGCTTGAGAGAAGGTAGTTCTTAAGTGGCAAAGTGGTTGAGAAAAGTCCTCGGGTGCTAAGCATTAGGCTGTCCGAAGGCCTCTCCCTTCTAGGACATATCCTAAGCTCTCTTTCCCTTTAGAGTGCCCTCTTCAGAGGTTAGATCTTCTAGGGCTTGACTCTCCGTGATGGACACTTACAGAAGCAAGTCTCTAAGAGAGAGAGGACGAGACGAGGAGCCTAGAACTAGAGTAAGAGCTTCCATAGGTCCACCCACCCCTATTCCTTCTATCTCGGCCCCTTCCTCGCGATATCTCTTAAGTGAGATGCCACACAACGATCACATGACTTACGACTATGTAAAATTTAGACATATGTGTAAAGCATGGTAAGTAAAATAGAAGTTACAGTTTAATGATTAAATATAAAGATTTTTATAATATTTGAGGAGAGGAATGGTTGTGGAGGAGTTTAAATGCGAGGACATGAAAGAGCGGGCAAAGAAGTAAATGTCTAAATGAGGAGAGGAAAGGTTGTGGGAAAGAGTAATAGGTTGGAATTAGATAAGGGTATTTTTGGAAGAGGGTGGGTTAAAATTAGAAATGAGAACTTTATTTTCGGACCAAAAAAAAGGAGAAATGAGAACTTTATTTTTGGACGGAGGGAATAATTTAGAGATAAACTAAAAAGGAAAATAGAACTTTCTATAGTAAATTCTCAAAATGGTCTTTTCTAATAAGCCATTTTTCCAAATTAGTCCCCAAAAGCAATAATTACCTTCGTGACCCTTTATAATTTAGATTTATTCCCAAAATAGTTCTTTATTGAAAATGTCTATCAAATGTCAGTTCAACGGATGGTATTTTAGTATTTTCTATTATCCAGACTTAAAGTATGTTTTTGGAATTCTCATATATAATTCAGTATTTTTCTAAACTGATAATTACGTAAATATTTTCCTGGAATGGAATCCATGAGCTTAATCGGGGTGGATCCGTTCCTCTAGCAGCCACCCACTTAATTTGAAACTTGAAAGGATCATTTTGAGAATTTATTCATAGTTTAAATGATAAAAATAACAGAATATCCTCTATTTAACTATCATTTAATAAGTATTTTTGAGATATGACTATTTTGGGAATATATCTCAATTAAAAATATATCTCAATTACAAAGACCATATTAGCAATTATTTATCTCAATTACAAAGACCATATTAGCAATTATTTCTTTTTGAGCACTAATTTTAAAAAAAACATATTAGAAATTTAGAATAGACCGTTTTGAGAACTTAAACTCCAAAATACTCCATATGTAGGAGTGTAAATGAACCAAATCGAAGCGAATAATGAGATATTTGAATTTATATTTATTTAATTTTTTCAAACACAAATTCGAATCCGAATATGAGCCAGATTAAAAATAAGATTTGAATTTGTATTTGATTAATATTCGAATAGTTAGTGAATCCTAAATGAATATTTGAATAATCATACTCTTTAATTTATATGATGGACCAACAACGATTTTGAATAATTTAATTTATGATACTCCTTATACTATACTATATTAAAATATAAAAATTATTTGCTTTAGATTTTCATGTTACTTTAATTTGTTGAATTCTTAGTAATTTAAATACACTTTATGCTATATTAATTTTCTTGACTATTAATGTTGAAAACATGATCGGTGTGTATATACATACATTCGAATATCATCCAAATCGAATATATCGCTATTTGTATTTGTTTAATATCCGAATCAAAAGTAATATTTGAATTTGTATTTGAATAATGCGAATCTGAATCATTATACGGAGTATTCAAATACGAGTTCAATTTAAAATACTAGCTCCGTCCTTGAGTATTTGTCCAGTTTGAACTTTTTCATTCAACTATTTTAAACATTTGATTTATAATTAAATAAAATATATATTGTACATTAATTAGATAAAATAATATTTTGAAAATATATCATATAATAAATCTAATAAAAATACTTTTAGTTCAATATCTAATACTATTTTTATTTAATTTGAGATCAAATTTATTAATTTTGATTAATTAAAAAAATAAAAAATGGACAAATACTTTAAAGAGGGTGATGGAGGGAGTATTTGATTTGTTTATCCCTATCCATACGAAACTACGAAAGGAACGAAGTAGAAGTAGATGGAAGGACAGAAGAGTAACTTGACCCAGTACTTTTGAGCAAGCAATTTTGTTCCTCATTCTGTCCGGCTTCACTCCACATCTCCCTTCCTTGTGCTCTGCTACCTTATCCGGCTGCAATGGCCGGCGACCGGAAAACGGATGAAAACAATGAGGTCAAGAATGAACCGACAGAAGAAATGGAAGAAAAGAATCCTTCTTACAGTTCAGACTCCAACTCTGAATCCGAAGATGAAGTTTCTTTAGTCCAACCTAGAGAATCCAGAGATAGCAGAAATGCAGCTGATAATATTAGGGATTTCATGAATGTCATCAATTCGAAGAGGATACAGAGACGTATGGAGGAAGATGAGAGGGCTAGCCTTTTAGAGAATGAACTCTTCGAATTCCCAAAAGACCCCGAGAAATGGAAGGAGGAGGATCTGAAGGAGTTGTGGGCGGACCCTCCCGCTGGAAATAGCAAAACCGGCTGGGACCCTAATTTGGCTGACAAAGAGGATATAAGTACTGTGAGGCGGGAGATTAAGGCGGGTCGGGACCCGCTGATTGGCCCGTTTTACATTCCTTACCGGAAGCCATACCCTGCGATACCAGATAATCACTACGACATCTCGAACCCAAAGGGTGTGATTGAAGAGCTTGATAGAATAGAGGAATTCTTGAGATGGGTCAGCTATGTTTTTGAAGATCATAGCTCGTAAGTGTCTTTTGCAGGAATTATTGATTTCTATAGCAGTTTTTTTGAATAGGAACTTTGACTTAGCTGCTTGTATTCATATTTGCTCATTTGAATGTAATTGCTTCAGAGTGTATAACCATGAAGATTCAGAGTGTTTGAATATGTAATTGTACTTCAGTGTTATCTGTTTGCCGTATTGATTTTGTTCGTGAGTGGGAAACCTTTTCTTAGATATACTGAGCTGTTTAAAGAAGACTTATACTTTCTTATTCTTTAGTGCTACTTATGGTACCAGCCTAGTTGCAAAGATTGTAAAATTTGTTTGTTACATGATTATGTGCAATTCCCTGTCAAGTAGTGATTCATCACTTCAATGCAGAGATGAAATTTCCGCAAAGCATTACTTCATCTGCCTCACTTCAATCACTGCTTTATACCTTTCCCTTCTTCTACTATCCTATCTTGATCCATCTACATGCCACACTTTCAGTTTATTCTTTCGTGTGTCTTACCTATTCCAGTGTATGTCTTTTGTTATGTCAAATATGGTTTGCAAAATGGAATATAAACTGTTTACTTTTTAGATGCTTTTTGCTTACTTTGGTTTTGTTAGCGAAATGGATTAAAAAACTTTTTACTAGTATCTTGGTGCCTTATCAGAAGTTTTTGAAAACTGCAATTTGTTTATATGTCTAGTAAATACCTATTATGGTCCAATGTCATGCCTGGTGATCGTTATGTTTATGGAGGCATGTGTAGTTTACTTGGGAATTCTTTATTATCACTATGCTGCCAAAACCATATTATGTGTTCTATTGAATTATGTTAACATTGAAACCTTCACAGGTTAGATTGGGAGGGGTTTAAATGAAAATGCAATGCCTTTGTGAAATATTAAGACCCTTTGATTTTGTTCTTCCAAGGTATGAAGGCACTGTTTGGGATGACAAGGCACATGGAAAAGGTGTTTTTGTTGGTGAGAAAGGGCTGGTCAGGTTTGTCTATAACATCATATAGTTGTTCTAGATTTACATGATATTATAGTGTTTAGAGTATTAGGTATACTTGGTTGTCTTTATGGAATTCCTTTCTGATTTTATCACTCTTCAGGCTGTTTCATTAATATTAGTTTGCATATATAGGTATGAAGGTGAATGGCTTCATAATGAAATGGAAGGGCATGGGGTTGTTGAAGTAGAAATTCCTTATATGCAACCCATCCCCGGATCCAAGTATGTTATTATTTACCTGAATTCATTCTATTGTGGGCATTCGGCAGGTTCTTTTTCTAATTTGAATAATGTTGTATAATGCTACAATTTGTTTATTAGGCTAGAAAAGAAGATGCGCGCTCAAGGGAGAATTATAAACCGAGATTTCATGACCCCTGAAGACAGAGAATGGCTCGAAATGGATATTGAAGATAGTATTGCATTCACTGACGGACACTATGAAACCCCTTTTTATGAGAGAAAGGAGTGGAAGCTTTTGTTTGGAAAGAAGCCGTAAGTTTATATTCAAAGTAAATATATGAACCTTCTAGCCCAAATAAAAGAACCATGTTTTAAACATATCTTGTCTTAAAAAAGAGTCACATTTAATCAAATATTTTTTTCCCATGTAATTTGTAAAAAGACGAGTCACAACCTAGTCACATATGATATGTTTCGACAAAAAACACATATAAGAGGATATATGAAAATGCAGTGGAGGATTAAACAAACAAATAAAATTTTAAAAGTAGGATTCATGATTTATTGAAGCTGTATCGTACCAGAATAAAGTTGTGTACACTGATCAAATAGAAATATTATGGATTCGGGCAAGTACGAGTTGTGAATTCATGACCTAGTGTCATTGAGTTTGGGTCGAACCAACGAGTTATGAGTTTTATTTATTTTTAAAATACTGAAATTCATACTAGCCCTTGCACTTAAAAATAATATAACACACACAATCAGATCAGATCATATCTAAAAAGAAAGCAAGCACAACGAATTAGGACGGAGGAGGGTAATGTATACATAAATCTAGTTGTTTATCATCAACTTGCTCTTTTATTTCAATTTCAGAGAGAAGGGTCTATATAGATATGCCGGTCAGTGGAAGCACGGGAGAATGCATGGCTGTGGTGTATATAAGGTCAATGAACGAACAATATATGTAAGTGATGGTTTGGTTTTTTTCTGTATACACTAATGATTTACTCCTTGCTATGTTTCTATACAAAAAGGAGAAAGAGAAAAGCAAGAGAATGTGTGAAAATTACTTGCTTCTTTAGGGAGAAAAAAAAAGAAAGTTGTAACCCACATGGTTTTTGCAATCTCTCCTCTTGTGTTATGAAATAGGGAAGAATTAGCTTTTAGTTCTTTAAATCAGTGGTACCAACATGATTTTTCCAGTTGTACCATTCTTATCTATCATCTTTTAAAGTATTCCTCATTTGGTATTAGTGTTCCCACTTTCATTTTTGAGATGTTTTAAATTAGTGTTCCCAGTTCCTATTTTGGACCTACTAAAATATTATCTTTCCTTTTTTTACGTTCGCTTATCACTATACACCACTCACCATCAATTTTCTTAAACTTTTCCCATACTTTTTTACTCTCTTCTCTGTACCACCACCCACCACATAATGTAAGATTACCTTGCGTAATGTGATTTTCTCTTAGAAGGCAACTGAGATTACTTAAATGTAAGGCATTGTTTAGTACTCCCTCCGTCCATGTATGATCTTCCCGTTACGCGTTACGAGGCTTGACCGACTTTATTTTTAATTCAATTTAATTGATTATAGGAGTAAAATTTTAAAATAAAATTTATATAGTAATAAACTACATGAAAAGTTCTACAAAACTAGAGGTGACAAGACTATATTATTTTATGAAATGACTAGTAAAATTGAGCAAACAAAGTGAGTAAAGTTTGACCCTGTGAATAGTGAGTGTCTGGGAAGATCTATGGTGGACAGAGGGAGTACTTGGTTGGAGGTGGAGGTAGTTTTATTAGGTAGGTAAATTATGGTATCCAATGCTATGTAGTATGCCCTAGGTAATATGTTAAAAAATGTGTTTGGATAATAATTGGATAGGTAATAATGAAATATTGTTTGGAAAAGGTGAGGTAATAAGGCCAAATTACTTCTATAGCCTCAATTCAATATAAGAAAAAAAATCAAAGAAAAAGTAAATAAAAAACCTAGTTAGCAATGCTTATCTTCATTGTCGATTGTCTCTACACCTAGTCTCCGCATCCCAGCTTCCACCCCTTCCTCCGTGCGGCAGCGCTGTGAAATATGAAAGGTCATTCTCATAAAATTCTGCAGCTAACTGTCAAACGATCCTAGCTTCTTATTTCATCATCTCTTTGATAAGCCTTAAGCCATCCACAATTAAAACTTGCAGTTGTTATCAGGGGTCTCTATCCATCTAGAGAACAGAATCAACAGATAAAAGGAATACTTGAGAATGGAGAAGGGGTATTTTGGGGAGATGAATCTTGAGTAAATAATACAATGAAGTTTTGCCATTTTGGTGAAATCCTTACTGTGAGTCTTGTTCCTTTTCTTATTTTTGTCCAAAAATTTTGAGTCATGTTTCTTTTCTTATTATTATCTGAAAATGGAGTCCTACTTAAACAAAACAAGCTAATTTTTATTTTATTTGTGTATTTATATATAAAGGTGATACAAACAAGTTAAATACATTAAATGTAGATAAACCGACACACAATTTTCTATTGTTGAGATTCTTGATAAATTTAAATAGTTGTACCATATTATAATTTAAAGGTTATACATTGTTAAAAAGGGACTCTTTTTATAGGACGAAGATAGTAATCTTAATCTGTTTCAAAGGAAATAAAATTGCGTGATTCAGTGACACTAATAGAATATCACCAACTTTATCTTACAGTACCTAAGAACCCAAGGTAGCAGTGGCATATGCAATGTTTAAACACTTGGGGTTCTTGCCCGCAATCATATATCTGATAAAATCAATTAGTGCTATAAATTACTTTTAAAAATGAACATGCCCCCATTAGAAAATCATTTGCCCCTTTAGTTATTTTAAATCTTTAATTGGAAATTAGTTTTAGTAATTTATTTATGTATAATTTCTAAATTTAAAATTGTTTACTCCCTCCGTCCCATATCTTTCTTCTCACTTTCCTTTTTGGGCCGTCCCACTTGATTCTTCCCATTTCCTTATTTGGAAATAAAAAACACTTATAATGACCTATTTACCCCTCTTTATTCCCACTTACATTTACGGAGTATTCTATCATGACATCACCTAACCTACTCTAACCCCCACCCCACTTTCATAACCCACCCCACTTTCATTATCTACTCTCTACCCCATTATCTCCTTCTCATCCACTCACTTTGCTTTCAATTTTCTCATTTACGGGCTACAGAGTAAATCTTTCTCTCCCATTTTCACTATCATCACTTGCTTGCCGTGAATCTGTGATGGAGTCGCTCTCACACCCTTCATCTTCTCACTATCATCGCTCTCTCACGCTTTCGTTCCTCTTCTTTTGTTTTCACATTAATTTTTAAAATGTGTTTTGGGTGTTTTGGAGGGAAACATTCTTTCACTTTTGTAGATGTGAATCATGCCTATGGGGTGTATGTACATGAACATATGTATGTAATGATTGAATTGGAAAAAAAATCTAAACTTTTGTACTTTGTCACTACTAAGCACTATGCACTTTATTCTTTTGATTTATTTTCCAAAAAGTGACGCATGAAGGGCAAAATAGAAAACTCATCTCTTTTTCCACTTTACATTAAAACCCGTGCCAAGTCAAAACGAGAAGTTTCAACTTGGACGGAGGGAGTATTTGCCTAGTTATGAATTATGCGTACGTAGTAATTCACAATATTAAAATGAAATTTAACACTTTTTTTAATATTTCACATTGTCTTTCAAAAAAAATCTAGGGACATTGGCTCCGGACTCTGCACCACTCTTGCCCCCCCCCCATTCTCCCAATATTCCAATTCCAAGATCCGTCATTGCAAGGTAATGACCTGAACGGCCTAACATTAGACTCTTTTCCTACATGACGTAATCTACTTAAGTAATTTGAAAACATGAACCAAACAAGGTAGTCTCACATTACTTTCATCTGATATCTCAAAAATCAAACAAGTTAAGGTAATCTGTCATTCCCAAAGTAATTTCATACGTTGCATTACCCCAAACCAAACCCCTCTTAAACATGTGATAAATGAAATGAAATCACTAATTTGAAGCAAATAGAGTATGTTTGAGGGTGCTTTTGTTCATTTTAAAAACAACCTATTATTCTTTCTCTCTTACTTCTCTCATAGCAAACAATACATTGAACTTGCTCCCTTCTCACCTATTTCTTTCTTCTCACAGTTTTATTTATTTATTTACTCTAAGGACTATATGGCTCAGATAGGAATGTTTAGAGAGCTACTATTAGAGTAGTTGGGTAGGCGCTTTGGGCTAGGTGGTAATTTTCTGTACTTGTGTGCTTTGCTTGCCTTGAATGATTGGTGCTCTCTGTTTGCAACACTTTTCCTTCGTTAACATTAGTTTGTTCTTTGCCTCTGTGTGCTTTACACTTTATATGTGCTTTTTCTACTGTATGTATCTCTTATGATCTTTTATTATTTTTGCTGCTTGAGCTCTTGGACACACCCTCCATACTTTTGAGTAGGGGCAAGGTCTGCGTACACACACCCTACTCTGGTGGGATCCAACTGGGTTGTTGTTTTCTCTAAAGACTAATCTTCTTCTCTACCAAACAGAACTTAAATGAGTCATCTTTGGATTTTGCTATTGAAAATATAGCTAGCCCAACAGTAATATATGTTGCCCCCCTCACCCACCCACCCACACAAAGCTGGGTTATATGTATAAACTATAAACAATGGAAAAAGAAATTTGAACTTGTCTGTGTGTCTGTGTGTGTGAGGGGGTGGGGGTGTTTGAGTAAAGACAGAGTTGTGTACTGGAGAGTCGAGATTAAGAAATGAATTGTTTATTTTCCTTTCACAAGACTTCTGGTTACATTATGGCTTGATACCTCTTTCTCTACTAGTGATTGTCTGATAAATTAAAATTTGAAAAAGATGTTCCCCTAGGAATTTAAAGTTCCCTACTGATACAAGGAATGATGGAGTCAAGGACCTGTTGATGGCATCACAATGACAGAAATGTTCTTACACTCTGGGAGCAGTAGCGTTACTTTCTTGTCTCACTCCACGCCACTGCAATGCCTATATTGTTCCACTTTAACTCCCATATTAGTATCTAGTAGACAAAATGATGTAATAGTTGTGTAGTTTATGTAAGATTCTTTTCTCACAATAATTTGACGACACTCTATCCACTTTTGTAAGTGGTGGAAGCATAACTCAAACTTCTTTCAGAAAACCGATCATGTCCAATATGTAAGCTCTCGTTTCAATTGTCATTAAATTATGGGCCTCGAAGACTCAAGCATTGCATGCACATTTAATACAGGAACATGACATGCTTGACATTAGCTAAGCTCTTCAACTATGTGATGCAGGGACGGTTCTACTTTGGAGAATTTGTGGAGCGGGATACTTATGGGTGTGATCTTGAAATTTCTGCGGTAAGTTGAAAAGTTTAGCCTGTAATAATTGAGTTTTCAGAGGTGTGACACCTCTCTGTCATTTAATTTCAGATGCATTCCGGTTTAGCAGAGGTTGCTGCAGCGAAGGCTCGTATGTTCACTAACAAACCTGATGGAAGTATGTCTGCACTTATTCTCCATATATATATGTATGTGTGTGTGTGTGTGTATATATTCATTTGCTGATTCAAACTTTATTTTCTACATTTCCTCACAGTGGTGAGAGAGGAAAGAGGGCCTTATGGTGATCCTCAGCACCCCTATTTTTATGAAGAGGATGATGTGTGGATGGCACCGGGCTTCATCAACCAATTTTATGAAGTCGGTTGAAAGTTTATATTTGAGTCACTTTTCCATAAAAATAAAGGTGTAGAGTCAAGGTCTGCATATCCCCCCTCCTCCATCCCCACAAAAAAAAGAGGGGGAGAGAGATCATGTTCTCTAGCGGGATTTACTAGGTTTGTTTGGTTTGGAATTGTACTCAACCAGGAATATCTAACTAGATATATATTTATAACACAGGTTCCTGATTACTGGAAAATGTATGTGCATGAGGTTGATCAAGAAAGGGAATTATGGCTGAACTCTTTTTATAAAGCTCCTTTGAGATTACCTATGCCTGCAGAGCTTGAATACTGGTGGGCCAATGGTAAAAGCTTTTGCCTTTATGTAATTAATTACTTCATCCATTAAGAGAGCATTAATAGCTTATTTTCCAAAACTGACCTCCTACATATATAAATGCTCAAGAATACTTTGTATATGTGGAGTTTAAACGGTATTGCTTGATTCCTTTTACTATGAACTTAAAACAAGAAACATTTCAGTGTTTATGTTGCACGCTATATTGAATTTATGCTGTGTTTGTTTTGATTAGATGAAGAACCAGAATTTGCTCTTATTAACAAGGAACCAGAACCTGATCCGGAAGATCCATCAAAACTCATATACACTGAAGATCCCTTAATCATGCATGTGCCATCTGGAAGGATCATCGACTATGTGGATGATGAGGAACATGGTATCCGATTATTTTGGGCACCTGATGATAAAGAGGGAGATGTGGGCCCAGACACAGAAGCAGGGGAAGAAGAAATCGAATTTCTTCCACTTGGATTTGATGAGTTTTATGGCAGAAATGCAGATGTGGTGGAGGAAGATCACTTCTTGAAGAGTCTTGTGTTGTCTGTAGAAAAAGCTTTCGAACCGTTGTTAAGCAAACTGGAGAAATGGGCAGAAGAGAAGAAGAAAGATGTGGAGATGAAGATGGAGTTGATAAAGAAGGAGCATGAATTGGCAGAAGCTGAATCTGCTCTAAATGAGGCTGTTGATGAGTTGGACAGTGCCTTAAAGATGATGCAGGAAATGGAGGAAAAGAAGGCGGCAGAAATGGGCATCCATGAGGAGGATGAAGAAGAAGAAGATGATGGCTCTCAATCTAAACAACCCAACAAATTTGAGAAAAAAAGGGAGGAAGATTACAAAGAGGAAGACGAGGAAGAGGAGGGGGGTGAGGGCGATGCTTCTTCATTTAGTTTTGGGTCAGTTGAAAATCAAGAAAAGGGACAAGATGACCAGAAGAATGGGAACAGAGAAGGTGGAAAGTCTCCATTTGGAGCATCTTCTTTGCCATTTGCTGCATGTTTTCTAGCTTCCCAAGTGAGATTTCCCACATCACCTTTTGACTATGTTTTGATATTACTACAGCCTATTGTTGTGAATAGTGTCTTACACCCGCCATGCGGCTTCTAGTCAGAGATTAGTGATATTAGGTAGGAATTAGGATGGGCCTAAGTAGGGAATTATCGGTGTTAGGCGGGTTTTATTAATGACAAATACTTCCTTGCTCCTCAGATCCATTCCAATTATATGGACCTTTCTGCTGTGGACCCCTTAGTATAAGTATTAGTATTAGTATTAGGATTAAGATTAGGATTAGGATTGGGATTGGGGATTAGAATTAGAATTAGGATTAGGGATTAGGATTAGTATTAGGATTATGATTATGATTAGGATTAGGATTAGGAGTAGCATTAGGCACATTAGCTTGGGTGAAACATGCCTGTTTCCACATTAGCTTCTTAGCCCAACAACTTTTGTGGGAAGGTCCAGGAATTAGGCATGGACCTTGGGTGTACAGAATCACCACTCTTTTTAATAGTTACTCAATTTTGTGCTCGGCAATTCATATCAGAGTGAATATAGTCCTTGCACAAGTGTTGTAATTATGTAGGGTGTTTTGTACATTAGGATTAAATTGGGTCGAAATTACATAGCTAAAGGCCAATTTGAGTTCTGAAATTGGGTAAAACTTTATAGTTGATGACCAAGTGTAGTCAACGGACAAAAATACCCTTCTTATTTAAAATCTAATACAAATGAGGATTAACTTGGGCCCAGACTTGGATTAACCTACATTTTTTCATTTTTTTACACTTCTCTCTTACGGGCATTAAAATTGCGATGGAGAGAGTATTAGTAGCTCCTTTGTGCAGGTATTATGCCTATCTTTGAAATGCTAAAGCAACCATAGTATACAAAATCCTCACTGCTTTGTTTATTTTGGCTTCATCAGGTTCCTTGTAAGCTACAACATTCATTTATGACATGGAAGGAGGGGAAAGCAAGACAACAACCCTCTTCAACAACTGCTCTTCACTTCAACGGCCAATGGACACCCAATTCAGTCGCCTTTCCCAATGCCACTGCTAAAAGTTGTAGGTTAAGAGCTGCACGAGACGTGCATTACCATGGAAAGCTGCCGATGATAGTGAAATCTAAGCACGCAATTCGGTTTAAGAAGAATGCATCTCAAGAAATCCAAGAGGAAGAGAGCAGCTTTAGTATATTGTCCTTGCATACACCCTTAGCGGCGTAGCGCCAGCCTTCTCAGTGGTTTAATGTTTTCGGGTGTATGGTATACATTTTTATATGATTTTTGTGACAATGCAATTGTTGACATTCAATTTGTTTGAGAATTATTTTCTTGGCACTTTTGGTTCCATTGGGAACTTGGGCATTTATATTGGGGTTTTCAAGAACTTCGTATAAGTACGGAGTGGTTGTGATGCCACTACGGTGCTCCAATGTTCCGTTTTATAAAATTGAAGGTTCTTAATTTCGCACGCCTAGAACAAATTGGTGGAAGTACATAAATGGATAATGTTAAATAAAACAAATCGTGATGATGATGATGATGATGATGAGGAGGAGGACAAATTGGTGCAAGACCTTTATTTCTTCTGCTCATTTATTTCGTGAACACTTCTGTTTGAATTGCAATTGCTTCCATTTCCAACTTCTTTTATATTGCTTAGTTGTTTTGAGAGGATAAGTATCTTAGGAGTTTGTAGTACAATTGTTTGTGTATAATTGTTTGGATTTACTGATAATTTTGATCTCGAGATTGTTCTTCTGCTTGGAAGTTTTAATTAGAATATACTCCGTACGTATTTTTTAGGCGCGTCGCCGCATTGTACATATGTATATAGTTTTTGTTAGTCTAATCACACTCAAACTCTTATTTGGTGTTATTTCATAAATCCTCTACATTCATGTCTTATTGTCAAAAGAAGGCCACCATTATTATATAAAATATTTTCAGAATATTATTTTATTTAATTAATATATATATATATATAATATTTTATTCAATTATAAGTACAAGATTAAAAATTGTTGATTGAAAAAAGTTAAAACTAGATAAATATACCGAAAAAGAGTTGAACATTATTTTTAGGGCAAAGGGGAAAAAGAAGAATATATATTCGCATTCTCCAGCGTCATCATAGACTGAACGAAAGCCCAATTATTCAGTGCCCGGCCCACAGGCGGCCTCGCAGGTCGCATTGGCGTCAAATTTCTAAATATGGAATTTCAGAGGGGAACCCTAGCTTACCAATCTGCCCGTTCCCCCCTATAAAGTCCTCCTTAAACCCTTCCTCTCCTCCCGCTAGCTCTCGTCTTCCTCCCATCTCCAAGCATTACTTCGAGGCGCTCTTCCTTCTCTTCCAGCTGTGATTGCAATGCCAATGGAGTTTTGGGGTGACTGATTCTTCTTCTTCTTCTTCTTCTTTTATCTATCTTCCTATGCACTTTTCTTCTCTTCAAGCTGTTTTTTGTAATTTTCCTTATTTGCCATGTTTGTTCTAGTAATAACTAGTTCGCGTTTGTCTAATCGGTTGTGATTAATCAGAGTTCTGTGTACTAATTCGCGTGTTTGCTTTTTATGTTGTCTTGTGAGTTGATTTGTTCTCAATATTTTACGATACTGTACTTAGTTTTGTTAATGTTTCTGCTTGTGGTCTTTCTCTTGTGGTTTTGATTAGCAATGTTTTGATAGCAGGTGTTCCGCTTGCTGTTGAATTTGTCTGCTTAGTTTGCATTGTTTTTATAATTTTAGAAGTTTTAAGATTGTTTTGGAATTTGGGAATTGAATTTTTCAGTTTTCTATGGAGTATACTTTTCGTAGTAATCTGTATGTTCAATTCGTGAAAGTATTGAAATTTGAAAAAAAAAATGTGCAGGTGTTGAAGTCAAGCCAGGGCAACCTCTGAAAGTAACTCGTGATGCTGACAAATATATTCATATCTCCCAGGTGAGGATTGCTTTAATTACCAGATGCAGTTAAATTGCCTGATTGTGTTTCTTAGTTTTCAGTTTCTTGCACACATAGGCATCACTTGGTGAGATCAAAGATGACAAGGCAGCCAAAAATGTTGTGCTCCGTTTGAGGGTTGACCAAGGGATCTTTATCATAGGCTCTCTCTCAGCTGGAGAAAGGCCACAAATATCGACTGACTTGATTCTTGACAGACCATTTGAGCTCTCTCATGACTTAAAAAGTGGAAGTGTCTACTTTCTTGGATACTCGAATGTATTATTATATCCTTCTACTGTCCGTTTGTTATTTTTCCATTCCACTCTTGTGTTTCATATTATGTCTTATGTGTTGATTGAGTGAATAGCTCCACGGATATTTTCTTATCACATCAAATATTTTTTTCTAAACCTGTATATCTCTTGTTTGACCTTGGTGTCTTGAATGATTCATCTGATGTTTCTCTTGGGTTTGACTGAATTGGGCCTTCTTGCACTATTGAATGTTATTGGGCAGTGTAGGATCTCCTTATCAAACAGTTAATTTCAAGTCTGAATGTTATTTTACATGATGTCTGTAATCTGTAATCTGTGATTGAGTATTTTTTTGATAGCCTAGTGCCAATTATGCCTCACATCTTAGTATATGGTCTCGATATTGTTTCCCCTTGACATTACGTTCTTCTTCACGGAGGATGAAAGCGAGAGCGGTGAGTTTCACTCTTATACAATAGTTGATTATTGTGTTATCACCTGATTCTAAAACTGATTGTTTTTGCTTGTTTTGCTCTTCCTTTTTCAGAGGACTTTGATTCTGAAGAAGATTTACCCATTACCGCTCCTGCAAATGGTATTTTAACTACACATGAATTGCATAGAGATTGTGTATTTTTTAACAAGCATTTGACAAAGAATAAATGATTTGTCTAAATACTGTGACTCGTTCTTTTTAATTCCTTAAACTAGGTTTTAATCATTGATGTGGCTTTACCAATAGTTATTTATCCTATTTAATTTTTCTCACAATTTTAATGGGCTGTTTTCAATGTATTTTCTCAGAGACACCTGAACTCAAAGCTGATGACTCGAAGCAAGAGAAGAAGACTGAACTCAAAGTTGATGACTCGAAGCAAGAGAAGATAACTGCTGCTCCCCAGCAAGTGTCCAAGAAACATGCACCGAAAACACCATCAGAGCCTGCAAAAGAAGAGCCTGCTTCTGAAGAAGATGATGATTCTGATGATGATGTAGAAAATGATGATGGGGATAGTGAGGTATAATTATTAACTGACACTGAGCTGATATTATTTTCCACATCAACCAATAGGTTTTGTTTAAATTTCTTAGTATTGATATGTTGATACATATTGTGTCGAATTGGGTATTAGGATTCTGATGACATTATGGAAGGTGATAACTCATCTGATGATCAGGAAGAAGTTTCTGATGATGATGATGAAGATGATGAATCAGATGAGGAGCCAGAAGAGAAAGTATATGAACCACGTCTTTGTATATACATCTCTTTAGTGATTGATTTTTGTTTCTTAGAAATTGTTATTAAGTTTTGTGTTTTGTCTTCAAGCCAAAGGAGAAGTCAAAGAAGAGGCAATCTGAGCCCATTGTTTCTCCCCCAAAGAAAGCAAAGGCAGCTGCAGCTAACAAGCCAGGTTTGTGATTAATGTTTTTCTTTCATGATTTGCAACATTGATATTATTGCTGCTATTGTTATTATTATTCTTTAACATGACCAAATTTTTCTCACATTTGCAGTTGCTAAGAAAGGAACTCCTCAAGCTGCGCAACCCAAAAAGCCTCAACAACCAATGAAGAATTCAAACAAGAACCAAAAGTCTGTACCAAACTCTTTCTTAAATTTTATGGTTTATACGGCATGGGGAGTGTAGTGTTTGAAAACCCTGTCGTTTTCTTTTGCAGGAAACCTTTCCCGAAGAAGCGTTAAGGTGGGAACTTTTTTTTAATCGCAAGAGGAGAAGAGAAGAGAATGGGATGGTAGAGGTTAAAGGGTAATGCAGAAGTGTGGAACGCCAACAACAATTTTGTCATTTGGTTATTATGTTTGCTGTTTAAGTATTGCTTTTATGGTTTTATGGTATATGTTTGTTTAAGATTTTGGATTGCAACCCATATTTCTTTCAGTATATTTATGTTGGATGACATGTTTTGATCCGTTTGATGAGTTTCTTGCATTACCTTTTGTTGTGTGGTCGAGATTTTCAAAATACTGTGGCTAAAACCCCACTCCATACACCCTTTTGTGTTGGATATTTTCTAGCCACGTTTAACGGCATAATATAGGGGGCATTTCCCTATCAGTGCATTTTTTAATAATGTATTCCCAAGAAATGAAGGTGTTCTTGTCATATTGAAAAAGAAGAACGGTGGGGCATCTCCTTTTTTTCATTTTTCACCGAATTTATTAATAAAACATGCCCTTCTCTTTATATTTTATTTTAGTTAAATAACATTATCATTTATCAATTTTTTAAATCCCTATTTTTTCATTATTTTTGTTTTTAAATTATTTATTTTTTAATTAGTGTAGAATAAAAGTATGTTTTTTCGTTTGACTTATTATTTTTATAGTAATAGAAAATTTATTAATGAAAAAATAGATAAATAAGATACAAATCTTAGGTCATTACTTTGTCTCAGTATAGAATAATACTCCCTCCGTCTTATAATGATCTTCCCGGTTCATTTTACGAAGTTTGACCGACTTTATTTTTAATTCAATTTATTTGATTATAGGTGTAAAATTAAAAAATAAAATTTATACTCCCTCCGTCCTATAATGATCTTCTCAGAGCACTATTCTAACTTCACGAGAATTTATATTTATTTGTGTTTTTTCATGGCCTATATGATAAAATAAAATATTCTTGTCACCATTTGTTTTGTTGAACTTTTGGTGTAGTTTTTAAATATGTATGTTTTATTTTTTATTTCTATACCAATATTTAAATAAAATAGATTGAAAAAACTTGGGATTTTTCTTCGTTTTGCGAACCGGAAAGATCATTATAGGACGGAGGGAGTATATTTAAAAACTACATCAAAAGTTCTACAAAACAAGTGGTGACAAGACTATATTATTTTATCAAATATCTAATGAAAATAGGTAAAGAAAGTGATTAAAGTTTGACCAGGTAAAAAGTGTGTGGGAAGAACATTATAGGACGGAGGGAGTATAAAAAAGGTGTGAAGACACATGCGTTATTGCCAAAAGAAATACTACAGAGTATTTGTCCACTTTCATTTTTGTACACCATCCAATATACTTTTTTAATCCATTTTATCTTGTAATTTGTATATTAAAAAATTATAGAAATTATATATTAATAATCTATATGTTAATATATGTTAAGACAAATCAAACAAGATCACACATGACTATATTTAGGCTTACACATTGAGAGAATTTGATGAGTCAAAGTGCTTAGATGAACAGTTCTAAAAATCAAAAGTGGACGAATATAGCGGGACGGAGGGAGTATGTAATGTTATTTTACAAAAAATGGCATACGACATAGACGTAGACACAAGGCATATGTAATGTGGACCATTTCCCGCAAGTGCAGCTATGTTGGCTCAAATTCACAATAATTCCATTTTCTGTACCTGTAGACCCTGTAGACTGAACATTTCCCTCAATAGTGACCTGAGAAATCCCTGCATATCATGAGGGATAAATGACAATGCAAACGATTGTCTTTCATAGGGATGAGCATGGTACGGTATTTAGCTTGTACCGATACCGTACCAAATATTTTGGTTCGGTATGAGATTTTACTCTGTACCGATCCCAATCCCGAAATATCGGTTCAGGATGGTTTGATATCGGCTTCGGTACAAATCGGGATGAATATACATACCTACTTTACACATTAAATTTTAACGTCTCTTTGTTTTTGAAAATTAAAAGTGAATTTAAATAAAAAAAACATGAAATCTTAAAAAAATGAATATTCAAATGCAAGAGATGCGTATCAAAACTTAGTTTATATTTCACAAACTAAAAAAATGAACAACAACAAAGGAGTATTTCGAATCTTTGTGAATACTTTTATGTTCATACACAAAAACTAAAACTCAAATAAAAGTATAATTTACACATAATAGAATTTGAACCGATTTTTTTAAAAATTATTATTTAGTGGAGGAATATAAAAATATTACTTCGGGGTATTATTTTTTATAATATTTTAGTATATATGTTCGGTTTGAGATTTTCGGTATGGGACGTCACCTCGTACTGTTCCCAAATACCGTACCGACCATTCGGTTCGGTACGGTTCAGTTCCTTTTTTATACTTTTTCGGTTCACTATTTTTTGGTTCGGTATTCTCGGTTTCTTCGGTAAATTTCGGTATCGGTTTGGTACTTGCTCACCCCAAGTCTTTCATGCTTCTGACCTCATTCCAAACATATTTTGGGAACTTAAGCCCTGTTTGTAACCACGTAATTCTGTCTGTCCCCCTCCCTGCAAACAATTTAACTAATCTCTCATACATTGTCTTCCCGATAGCATATATCAGAAGAGAACGACGTCCCTTCAATACCTGATTGAAGCTTTCTAAAACATTAGTGGTCAAGATTCCATATCGAGACTCACTATTGTAGCTTAGTGCCCACTTATCTAATGATAAAGCCATCAACCAATCATATGCTTCTGCATGCCGTGTCTGAATCTTTTACATTGTTCGATGAAATTCATAGACATCGGGGGTACTGGCTGCATGATACATCAAAGCCTTAAGTTTCTTGTTGTTGAATTTTTTCGGAAACTGCTTCTAAGGTGTCGCAAGCAGTATCTATGTGTTACACGTTGTTTTCCCAATTTGAATCTTGGTCACTGACCCGGGATTCCTTTGCATGAGCGTAGCTAGCAGTGGCAATAATTTGTTGTACAAATCCTCCCAAGACCCACACAATCATTGAATCGCAATAGACTTGGCCAACCAACTTTTCTGCATCAGCTACAATTTAGGAAAAGATAATTTCAGAAAATGAGTTTGTTTGTGATAAGCTTGTCATCCTTCTCTTTGGAATAGTCTGGTCTACATAAATGTTTCCTTTTGTATTTTTTACAGTCCAAAGAGAAGATGATTCAGCAGCTTGAATGAGCCATGAGCACTGTTCTGCGTATAAGCCCTTGAACTCGTTAAGCTCTTCTTGAACTCGGTGTGGCTCTAGGTACACTTCAAGCTCATCATATTGATTGGTGGCCTTTTGAACAAAGCACCTCTAAGTCTGCTCTTCAAAAATTGGGAAAGGCATGAGGTAGCATATACTTCACCCTTGTATTTGGGATATTCCCCTTAAATTTTCTTGATGGGATTGAAACCATCTTCACTTACAGCAGTGAGAAATTCATTGAAGACCTGTTCAAATGAGACATCAAAATCAAAGACGAAGTGTTTGCATGCAATGAGTACTCCACCTCATTGTCTACAATTTTGAACCCACCATTCCAATAAGCTAAAAGGATAAAGCTAGCACGATAGTCCATTTCTTTAAAACGTGAAAAAGATTTGTGTGTTTTTAGTTGTGCAGTGAGATTATTATCTTCTACCACAATTTTATAGTAGAGTTGAGTTAATGAGGATGTGTAGTAGTTGAGTAAAGTTAGTTGAGATTTGAGTTAGGTGCAGGATTTTGTATAGTAGTTGAGAAAAGTTAAGTTAGGTTAGGTGCAGGATTTGAGATAAGTTTGGTGTGTAGTTGAGAAAAGTACGGGTTAGGTGTAAGAGTAAATTTAAAAGCTAGATGTAAAAATTAAAACTCCACAGCATTTAAATTTAAAAAGTATAAATAAATTACATGCGTAAAAATTTAAAAACATCCCAATACAAGCTCCCTAACCACCCTCCATGCTTAGATTGTCCAAAACGTAGCACATGTCTCCCCTGTCCATAGGCGACGTGGCCGGCGCCTCCTCATCATCGACATTGTTTGGCACGTCTGCCTCCCGCTTTTCCGCAAGTCGTCCTTCCACACGACATATTCCATTGACCTCTTTTTTAACAATTTTCAAGATTTTGATTGAAATTTTATCATATTTTTTACAAAAAACTGCTGGTAGGTACCCTAGGTTTTGTTGTAAAAACTACCAGGTCCTACTTTTTTTAGAAATATACTGCCAGGGTACCCAAATTTAGGATTTAATGACCAATCAGGGACTTTTCATCCACATCCCCGTTAGTGTATGTAAATGACGTATATACCCTTCTTTATTTCCTAATAAAGCTTGTTTTAAGGTTTCTGCAAATTCATCTCCTCCAAAACGGGATGCTTTCTTTCCCAATTTGGTTTGCCATCGTTTTCCATCGTCACCATCGTTTGTCTGCTCCAAACACACGAAAATGGTAAGAGTTCACTCTCCCTGAATTCCTTATAACTACTTTCGTCTTCAGGATTACATGTTTCTCCTTCTTGCTGCTGGGTATTTTAATTTCATGTTTCTCTTTCTTGTTTCAATGTTTAGGCTCCTACATGTTTTCAAGTGTATGTAAAAGATAAATGCTTTGTGATAGATGACATTGATTTAGATATCTACTTCACCAAAGATTTATATTCTGATATCATCTCTAAAGCTAAGGAACAAAATATAGAGCTGCCTAGGTTTGTTGGTTTGAAATATCATCCACCCTTCAAAGAAGTTCAGGGAGAACATTTAGTTAATGATTCAGACTGGAATAAAATGGTTGAGGAATGGGGGAGTGTGTCTTCCACTTACATTCCTATATATGTTGTTGAACTGCTGGAGCCCAGTGCATTGCAAATGATAACAGTGGCTGTTGATTCTAGTTTCCAGAATGGTCATGAGTCGACTATAACTTCAATTGAGCAATGGGCTGACAGCTTGCTTGTAACTCCATTTCTCCAAGTAAAAGCAGTAGGAATCTAGAATTTAAACTAGGATCATTTAAGAAATCCAAGTTACCTGATAGGAAGCAGCCAAGAAGGTCAAATGATGAAGTAAGCCCCTCATGTTTCAGAAATGTTGATGATTTACCACCAAACACTGAAGAAGAAAGAGATGATGTTGACAGTGTTAGGACACTTAAGAAGAGAAAGAAAAATTCTATAGGATGTGGAAGAAAAGAATTTCAAATAACTGAATTGAATGTGAAATTGTTTGCAAAGGAATTGAAAGGTCTAGAAGCATATGATCTTCCTAGTCTGTGCAAGCCCCAGATTACTCCCCTAGATCTGTTCTTTAAAGAAGTTATGCCTCCCAATGAAAGTGATGGTGCTGATGAAAAGGAATGCATTGAAGATGATGATGAAGGAAGCCAGTTTGATGGTGATGAGGAAGAGTGCTCAAGTAGTGTGGATGTGTCTCTGGATGAAGAGTCACAGACAGATGAGGAATTGGATGTTGATGCTGATACTAATAATAGAATGAAGTTGGGTCATGTGGAAGAGGATGAAGATGGGAGTGGAGTCAGTTGATTGTGGACAAAATGGCAAAGATTTTCAATACTGGCAGGTTGTGGCTTAGAAGTACAAATGAAAAAGTAGAGCTGAGGGAGGGTGACATATCCAGCTCAAAAAAAGATTTTCTAAGGGTGATGAGGGATTACATTATCCAGAAAGGTATTTCTCTAAGAAAGATTAAGAATGATAAAAGAAAATACACTCAAACATGTGCCAATGAGAAGTGCAAATTCAGGATTCATGCTTCTGATCTTGTTGATGGTCATTCATGGATGATTAAAACCCTAATTGATGGCTATGTTTGTTCAGTTAAAGAGCACCACAAAAGGGCAGGAGCATCTTGGGTTGCAACCCATTTGCTTGAAGACTTTAGAAGCAATAGGGAGATGAATGCTACCACTGTGAAAAAGCTAATATTTAAAAGGTTCAATACTTACATTCCAAATTACACTTGCTGGAGAGGCCTAAAATTGATGAGGCAAATTGTGGAAGGGAGGCATGAGGATGGCTACAAGCTTTTACCCCAATACATGGAGGTGTTTAGAGGTAGAAATCCAGATTCTGAGTGCTTCATAAGGTGGGAGGAGATAGGGCCAGGCAGGAACCCCATATTTAGAAGGTGTTTAATATGTATAGGTTCAGCCATCAAATTTTTTAAGGAATATTGTAGGCCATTGATTGGTATTGATGCATGTCATTTGAAGGGCCCATACCAAGGAATTCTATTGACAACAATGGGTTTAGATGGAAATAATGGACAGTTTCCCTTGGCTTATGGTGTAGCTGATACTGAGGATGAAACAGAGTGGGGTTTTTTCCTTCATGGGTTAGCAGAGGGGCTAGGGTGCAGTCAAGATGCTTCTAGGTACACTATAATTTCTGATAGGCACCAGGTACTTCCATGCTTACATTTATTATAGTGCACTGATTGAATATGTATTCTTTATTAAAGTCCACTCCAGGTACTTATTTTTCTTAACAAATCTGTAATATGCCATAATAAAGGGCTCAGCACTGTTATGCCAAGAGCTTCAAGGAGGATATGTGTTTTACATTTCTATAAAAACTTTGCTTCCAAATTTCCAGGTACTATATTATTATATACTTCTAGTTCTTATTGATATAAATAGTTGTTTATGTAATGTTTTACACTTGTAATTTTGTTAGGTGCATGGTTCCATTCATTTTTCTATATAGTTGCAAATACCTTCTCAGAGTATGTGTTCAAGAAAGGTATGGAGAAGATAAAGGAGGAAGATAGTGAAGCTTATGATTGGCTTGAGACAAATGAGCCAAAGACCCATTGGGCAAGGCACAAATTTTCTGCAGCCTTGAAGTGTGATGATAACACAAACAATTTTGTGGAATCATTCAACAAGGCTATTGTAGCACACAAAGCAAAGCCTACCCCACAGATGTTGGAGGAAATCAGAAAATTGGTAGGTTCAAGGTTTGAAAAAAGGTTTTCAATGGGAAGGAGTTGGTCCACTAAAGTCACCCCTTATGTAGACAAGAAACTTAGGGCCTTAGCAATGGATTCTAGGGTCTGTTCTGAAGTGATAGCAGCAGGCAGAGGTGAGTTTGATGTTCTTGATGGGAACACCAATTTTACAGTCAGGTTGAGAGACCACAATTGTGACTGCAACAGGTGGCAAGTCACTGGTCTTCCATGTAAGCATGCTGCAAGATGCATTCTAAGGATAAATGAAAAGCTGGAAGACTATTGTGCACCTTGGTTTTCTGTTCAGAATTACAAGAGACTGTATGATGCCATAATACACCCTATTCCAGACCCATGTATGTGGGGGACAAGCACACTGTCAGAACTAGACCCACCAAAAACCATGAAAAAGAAAGGTAGACCCAAGAAACACAAGAGAAGAGATGGCATTGATGACGTGATTGCAAAGAAGAATGGGCAAGCTCATGGAACAAAGCGTTGCAGCAAGTGTAAACAGTTGGGCCACAACCATAGGACGTGTGGCCAAAGTAGAGATCCTAATGGGAAATTAATGAAGAAGTACAGCAGAAAGAAGAAGAAAGCTTGTGAGCTTGATAAAAATAGCTTAGATCATGTCTGAAGTAATGAAGATGTAATATGTTTTTTGTATTCAATATGTTATCAACCAATGTAAATGGTACTTATATAGTGGTGTATAAAGCTTTTGTTTTTTGTTGCTCACTACACCCCAAACAGAATATGTATGGTTTTTGACATGATTCAGTAATGGCAAGTTTCAATTTGACATGAATCAGTAATGGTTTCCATATTTGGTTTTTCTGTTTGCATTTTTGGCATGAATTAGTAGGGGCTGTTTTTGGCATTTCTAGGTTGCAGTTTTGGTTATTATGCCTTGTTTTTGGCAAGTAGGGTTGGCATTTCTGGGTTGCAGTTTTGGTTGTTATGCCCTGTTTTTGGCAGTACTGGGTTGGCATTTGTGGGTTCTAGACATAGTCGCTACGTAGACTAAGTCGTAGCGTAGACGTTAGTCGTAGCGTAGATGTAGTCGTAGCGTAGACGCTAGTCGTAGCGTAGACATTAGTCATATCGTAGACTAAGTCGTAGCATAGACATTGTCATAGCGTAGACGTAGTCGTAGCGTAGACTTAGTCGTAGCGTAGACGTAGTCGTAGCGTAGACGACTTCGTCTACGATGAGTACAGAGCAAGGGCAAAGCATCATCCCAAACCATCATCACTGCACAACAATGACTTAAACACAACACAACAAGGGGATTCATTAAAGTTAAAGCAAAATACAATAATCAAGTGCTCATTCAAATGATGACAGGTACATCAAAATCAAATACCCCAAGCAGTAGCTTACAACACATACAACTTACACAACAACAAACACTTATACACATGTTTTGGCTTACATCATGAACACATAAATTGCTATGTGAAGCAAAAATCCTAGACCTAGACCACATAAAAAGGGGGCGGCAGTTCTCTTCCTCTGTGAGTGCTTCATGCGCATGGTTAGACTTTTAATCTCTTCATCTTTTTCTTTAATATTCTCTAATAGCCCATGAATTATTTTCTTCGCACGATCGCATAGCTCGGGCTCTGCCCATTCCCAGCTCTTACATTTCTGGTAGAGCTGGCAAATCGGTCGGTCAGGTCGGGTTCGGGTTCGGTCACTTCAAGTTCGGGTTAATTCGGGTTCGGGTTGAGAACTGTATGTTCATGACCCAGTGTCATCGGATTCGGGTTGACCCAACGGGTTATGACTTTGGTTTTTTAAATTTTTAAATTCACATTAACACTTACATTTTCTATTAAATAAATTTAAAATATAAAAAAAGTACTAAATCTATAAAATTATATTATTTTAAACTCTAAAGTAGTTTTTAGATATATAAATCAATATAAGGAATTTAAAAATGTTTAAGTTTTGGAAAATAGTAAGATAATTATGCAATATCATTAAAATTTTGTCTGAAAATATAAATTTATACACTAAAGAATATAATTTTGAAAAATTCTTAGTTTAGCGGGTCGGTCAGGTCGAGCTCGGGTTCGGTCGGGTTTGACCCATTTTTAGCGGGTCATTTCGGGTTCGGTCAACTTCGGGTTCGGTCATTAAAACCTTTGTTCAAAACCCAGTGTTTTCAGGTCGGGTTTCAGGTCAAAAACAGGTCGGGTCACTTTTTGCCAGGTCTAATTTCTGGATACCCTATTCAATAAAAGCTCACATTACCAACATGTTTAAGCAATCTACATGTCATGTTAAACATTATAAACAAGTAAACTAACCTTTTGATCACACATCCAAAATCTTCTTCCAGGATTTTTTTTTGTCCAGGAAGTAAAAATCACCATCCCTTTGCCACAATTGCACATAGGCACCTCAAACCAATCCACATGGTCAAGAATTCTTCTTGAGTTGAAAGAGTAATGAACACCACTACTACCAAAAAAAATAAAATTCATATGTGAATGAATTCGTATGAAAGCAATC